TCTTCCCGATATTTGTTAGAAAACAATCAAAGAACTGGTGTACTGTTCGCTGCGTCCTCATTTATGGCTAAGAAATATGGCTAGTAAGAGTAGAGGATATTCGTGGACAATTAGTATTAGTGTCTTCAATAAATTGCTCGCATATCCTGGGACAACTGAGTAAGCGATCTTGGGTTGGCAAATCAATTGATGAAGTATTTAAACTTCATCAGTTGAGATGGTTGAGGCATATGTTACAAATGTCCAATCACCGACTGCTTAGACGAGTGATATTTTGTGGTGCAGCAGTAAGTTGGAAGAAAGTTAGGGGCGGCCAAACCAAAACATGGTACAAATGCATGAAGTCACTGATAACTGGATTGAGCCATCTTAGTAAATGTAGACTGGTTGGTTGGGGTTCGCGAAATGATAGTAACTGATGCTTAGAGACCTTGAATGACTTGGCTCAAAATTATTTGCCATGGAGCAGGTGCATCCATTCTTTGCATTTTCCCAAATTCTAATCTAAACTCCTCATGACCTTCATCTATCTCGTTTCAAATGAATTTCACTGAATCGACAATTGCATCTTTATGTACTAATGTGATATGTCCACCTAAACTGATGTACGCAAGCACGTACGACGGTCTACGTTGTAACTGACTGTTAGAAAACACTGTACAATATGCACTGTAATGCTGTATCCTATTCAATATGAACCTAGAATCAATTATATTAGTTATCATAGTGCTACAACCGACAATAGAAAACCACTATTATCACAATTACACAGCTAATAAATAGATTTGACAATGTCAGCTGTAGCATAGGCAAGTTTCTTATTTCTTATCGTTAACTAACCCTAACCGCGTTATATATATAGAGAGAGAAAAGGATCAGTTATTTTTTTTTTAATCGATAATGTAATTTATACAAAATACAAACACGTGCACCAGTGTGTGTATGCAACTGCTTTGTGTGCCTACACAATAATCGTCTAAAATAGATTAAATTAGATAAGATAGGATAGAAAGTTAGATACAAAGAACAATAATCATAATAAATGAAAGATAATTTGTTCAAGTTGTGTTTTTTTTACCAGTGGTGCTGTTGCATAAGTTTGACAATGGTGAAAGAGGGAACACAAAAAAACTAGGAAATGTGACACATGTTCGCCCACACACGTACACACAATAAATGTGGGGACCCAACACAACACAACACACAAACAGGCAAAAATTAAGGAAAAGATTTTTCTGAAAGAAAAGAAAAACCAAGAGAAGAAATCAAAGATTAAACGAAAGAAGAAGAAGAACGATAACAACAACAACAACAACAACAGAGAGGCATGAGATCATCCGTGTGTATAGTTTTGAAGAAAAAAGATACTCTCTAGTGATCGATTATAAGTTATTTTTCTTAGGGTAGAGAAAATTAACCGTGTAACAACACCCACCCCATCCAGTAGGAGAATAAAGGAAACGAAAACGGAAGAGAAAAACAAATGATACTCTATAATATGGAAAACAAAATAATAACTATATATTTATGTATAAATATATTTATTTATTAATATATTTATTCATGTAACTGTGTGTACAAGTTGTGTTGTTGTCTGTATAAAGAATGAAATAATAGTAATAATAATAGTAATAATAATAATATTAATATTAATATTAATAATAGCAGCAAACAGCATTCAAGCTAGTGTGTGGAGCGAGCAACAAGAGCACAATCGATTTATATATATATAGATAGATGTATGTATTATAGCAAATAAATAAATAATGTACAAGGAACCGCTAGGAATCAACATTCACGCACGTACACACACACACAGATACACAGACAGATACACACAGTTACATTTTCATATTGAATTGAATTGAACTCAGTGTGTTGAAAATATAGAAAAAGAGTAAATCAAACGGAGAAAAAAAGAACATGAAGAAGTCATCGGAGGAGGAGGAGGAGGAGAACAACAGCAAATAGAAAAACCAAAAACAAAACAAGATCTCTCCACACAACTGTACATACCCGCACTCAATTACACACTCACACACACACACACACACCCTACACAAAAAAACAATGTTTGTCACTTCCAAATAGAAGATGGTGATGATGATGATGATGTAAGAAAACAAATATATCATTATGATAGAATAAAATAGTGGATTAGTTATTGTACAATGGTGATAGCAAATATGTGTGTGTGTATGGATGCATCTGTGTGTGTGTGCGTTACGCGGGGTAAACGACAACAGCGGTGCACTGGCTCTGTTGTTGTCATTATTATTATCACACGAATATAATTGAAAAAGCATTTGGTGGATGTGATTGATTGATTGATTGATTATTGGACAGTAGAACATCGGCATCCTCAACATCAGCAGTAGCAGCAGTGGTAGTGGTAGTAGTAGTAATAGTAGTAGTACTGGTAGTAGTAGTGGTAGTAGTGATAGGAATTTATGTGCATTCGATAGATGTGAAGAGTATTGATTGTGTTGTGTTGTGTGTGTTTATCGCTGATTTCTCGAATTGATGACAACACTTCACTGATGTAACAATAATAGTAATAACAATAATAGTAATAATAATAATAATAATCACGATTTCATGTTGAAGTAACACATACTTCATGAATTTAATCACTGAATGAATAGTGTTGTTGTAACAACAAGGAAAAGAAGTTAAGATAAATTATAAAATGTGACCACCGGGATTGAAAAATAAGTAAAAGAAAAGAAAAGAACACAAGAGAATAAACATATGTATATATGTATATGTAGTATAGTACAACCACAATGTACGCCGCCGAACTCTTTACATTGACTGTTTACATCTCTCTTCTATTTTGTGTAATTAATTGAATAAATATTGATATTGATACTGGATATGGACACGCACACACACACACAACACAACACAACAACACACAATCACAATCAAAAAAGGAAATGAAATAACATTGGAATCTTAATTTTTTATACAACACAAAACAAAAGTGATCATTATGATTATTAGTATCATGATTATTGCACTTATGAATATTATAAACCACCGACGATGATCAACGAACGACACACATAATGAGGCGCGCCAATACACTCTACACACACACTCGTCGATCGATCGAATTGGGAAACAAACAGAAGCGGAGAACACAACTTTGATATACCCTGAAGTTTCCTCTTCTTGTTGAGAATAACAAACTAGGTGTATTGAAAGAAAAACAGAATACGAAGAATAAGAAGATGCAGGCAAAGAACGGGGTATTACGATCTACACAAGTGTACAGTGCAACTTTTAAATAATTGAATTAATAATTAACGTTTGATTTTTCGATAATAATAAGAAGGGAAAAGTATAAGACGAAAAACAGGATTCAAATGTTTCTCTGCATGAAATGTTACTCTCTAACTCTGATTGTTTTAACTCAATGTGTGTTTGAATTTGAAAAAAAAGAATTGATGAACAGTTTTCAACTGATCATAGATGATAACGATGATAAGGATTGGAAAGAACATAAAAATGATGCTGCCCGTATAAATACACATATATATATTGGGGATATCTTCTCTTCTCTTCTCTTCTGTTGAATTAGTAGGCGCGCAAATAAACAACGGAGAAAAAAAATAAAGACAATATGGATTGTGTATTGTTTGAAGTGAGTGAGAGAGAGAGTTCTTTTTGTTCATTTTGTTTTTTGTTAACAATTGATGAAATAAAAAGTAAAACAAAACAGAATTATGCATTGGAACACGAGCGCCTTTCACCGGTGGTTGTGTATGTGTATGTGTGCACTGTATAAATATATATATATATATTTGATATTATGTAATATGTGTGTGTATGGGGAAACGACTAGAAAGTAAAAAACAGAACAGAATGAAAATCAAGATTAGTAAAAATACGCACAAGATTTACATAATCTAGTTTATATAATTCATTTATATTCAATGCATAGATTGTGTTGCTGCAAATGCCCTAGTCGGTGTATGTAGAACTTCGTACGTACGTACGTACGTACATCAGTTCATGTTGCCATACCATATTAGCACACAGAGATTGTCATTGTTAATTCAAATCTCATAGTAGTAGTAGAGATAGTGGAAGTATTAGCGGTAATGGGGAAGATTAGGATTCGAAGATATAATTCGTGAAGTATAATCCCGTGAGATAACTTTAGAATCAGAAAAATGCAGAGCAGATGACGAATTCAGAAGATTAGGATTTGAGAGAACACAAAGAGTGAATGCATCTGCGCCAATGTAAACGATTTCGAACCATATCGTTCGTACAAGGTCTGTAACCATCAATTCTTATCATTTCGCAGACACCAGCAAGGTAGTCTCCAACTACAAAGATGACTTAGTCCACTTGTTAGTGACTTCGTGGATTTTTGCCATGTTTTGGTACAGCTGAGAATGAGGAGATAGCTGCTACTAACAGGGAAAACTTAATCACTGCCTCCTGACATCAAGGATGTTCGCTATTTATGAAATTGAGAAAATGAAAAGGAAATAACCAGCGTTGTGTTTAACTAGAAAAAAAATCGTTGCGTTTGAAATTTGATTGGCTGTTACACTAAATCAGAGATGCCAATCCTGTAGTTTGAGGATTATTTCGTTTTAAGCAACTCGTTCTAGACCGAAGGTCTTGGGTTCGATTCCTGATGACAGACAGAATCATGGATAAGCACTGCCATTAAGCAGTCGCATACTCGGACGAAATGGACCTGCAGGGCTTTCAGCTTTCTAACAAACAATGATCAATTTTTTGATATCAATGGAAATTATGAACAAACTCAACGATCAAGGCTGATGAAAGTATTCAATGAAATTAAAGAAAGGTTTTTCTAATCACAATCACAGATGACCAATACATCATCAATGACACAACACAGTCAAACAGATTTAAAAACAAAAATTCAACTCACTTGATAATATTTCAACTCTATGTCGATATAATATAATATATAATATATATGGTATTGATATTTTGATTATATTAAGATGTTAAACTGTTGTAATTACAACTAATAAATGTGATTGATTGGCTTGTACTACACGTCTATGTAGATCAGGAGCAGCTAGACCAAGTTGTGCATGAGAAAAATCACATGGTGGAAAAATATGCACAACATAAAGACCCTGTATGAAAAATAAGAGAAAAAAATATAATGATTTATTGATTGAAATATACAAAGTGAATTACAAAAATGTTTCGTAGAATGAATGAATGATGCAGAATGGGTATTTAGCTTTGGTTCAAAAGCTCGAATTTTTACCTATCTATTTATAAGTACGAATTTCCAAAATGAAGATCAACCCAGGTTGAATTTGAGACAATTACCTGCCGAATACAATGGATTCTGATTCAGTGGTCTAGAAATTAACTGATGGTACGCGAGCAAGACCCCGAACAACCTCAGTTTGATTTTCGCATGCGAGTGAGAACTGTTATCACCAAAGCGAAACAACCGGCCAGTGTTCAGAGCATTGAACGATTCATCGTGACAAAACTCTAACATTCTCTCAATTGTTTTTTTAAACGTCAGGAAAGAAGTTAACCATTGAATTTTTCACTCTCAACTACCTACAAAAAAAACCCTAGCTCCGTGAAAATATTCTGGAAATCCTATTGAGTTCAATCATATTTCGATGTGAAGCAGTTACCATTCATTAAAAGACAATAGATGATAGTCACGCAATATTGTAGATTTATTAAAGTTATCAAATATTAACATTATTGGATCAATGATCGATCAACAAGTAATGCGTTCATGCATAATTTCTACATGCGAATACCGGGGAATATGTACTACTACACTGATGAATCCCACCACACTAGGAGCAAACCAGCCATATTCAGATTTCCAATTAAACAACCACCAGCCAAACAATAATTTCATAAATTCTTTCAATTAAAAACAAAACAATATTTAATTATTGCTCTTTTTGTTTCTCATTTTATTCGATTCAAACAAAATAAATTTATGCATCCACACTCTCTCTCTCAGTTTCAGACAAATTTTTTTTCTACCATCAATTCATTTATCATCTATTTACGTTTCTTTCTTGTTGCTGACAGCCCAAACAATCAACCAACTAACCAACCAGTCATATACACACTTACATACACGTAGAAACCAGAATTCAAAGCTATTTTTATGACGGATAAAATGAAGCATTAAGGTTTGAATTGAAGAATTCCTCAACATCAACGCCTAAACACAATGGTAATTTAAGTCCATTGTATACAATAAAACACAAAGAGCGCGCTTTTCATCATCAACCACCTCATCGTCATCATCGTCTCTCTCTCTCTCTCACACACACACACACAGAA